TTTGACTTTTAACTAATTAAAGATTCCTTGTGCAATCAATTTGATTTGTCCACAATATAATTTCCAAGCTTTATCCAAATGTGTAGGTGCAAAGTATGGTGCCGTTTACCTGTCATTACACCCTGTAAACACCTTTTATGCCTGGACTGTGTTTCTTTGGACAGTGAAAAGTGTACATTTCCTGGCTGTGGTAACTTATACGAGATGCAGAGTCCTGAAATACTAACCCGTCCAGAAAATCCCAATCCAAAGTGGCCTGTTCCACAGGATCTTATTGAGTTACAGCCTTCTTATAAGCAGGTGGGATAATTTAAACTGTCATTGGTTCTGATATAGCCTTTTTTCTTGCCCTCATTTATAAATTTATTTATTTATTTGTCTTTTTTGTTTTTTATTCCTCATTTCCTCTTGCCTATCAAATCATCGAGTACTTAAGGTCTTTATTTTTTTTTTTTTTTTTTTTTTTTTTATGGTTCTTTCACAGGATGACTGGAATCCTGATTGGCAGTCTACCTCCAGCAGCAAAGTAACTTATCTTGTACATCGATTGAGGGAAATTCAAGAAGCTAATAGGCTGCTTGTGCAGACTATTGAGGATAAAGGTGTCGATAGTGTTAATGATATTCGTCTCCCCTTTTTGCGTCGCAACATCAGCATGACTTTACATGGACCAGAGAGTGATATCTGCCAAGTTCTTCCGGAGAAAGTTATTATTTTTTCTCAGTTTCTTGAGCATATACATGTGATTGAACAGCAGGTAATTCTTTGTATTATATGCCTGGATACTTCAGTATGATTCTTTTTCTTCATCAAGTGATAATTTAATAATTTCAAATTCTCCTTTTACCAGTTAACAATTGCTGGTATTCAGTTTGCTAGTATGTATAGTCCAATGCATTCTGCCAACAAGGTACCTCATTAGTACTTGTAGCATTTAATGTCTGTGGTTATCTGATCTTTTTTCGGATGATTTGTTTGCTTAATTGGGGGACAATTACTTTTACATGATTCAGATAAAATCACTGGCAACCTTTCAGCATGATGCAAACTGTTTGGCTCTTCTGATGGATGGAAGTGCAGCTTTAGGCCTTGATTTAAGCTTTGTGTCACGTGTTTATGTGATGGAACCAATATGGGACAAAAGGTACTAGAAGATTATATGTCTGTTTTAAGAGCTTATGACATCAAAAGCTTTGTAATTGTATTAATAAACTTTATTGGGAAAAGGGTCAAATAGGCCCTCGAACTTTAGCTTAAAAGTCAATTAGGCCCCTAAACTTTTTAAAGGTGCAATTACACCCATCAACAATTCATTTAAGTGCAATGAAGCCCAAAAACAAATTAATGACCTGCTATCACATGTCATTAGGGTTCAGGCTACCTTCCGGCGAATTTTCCGGCCAAAAAAAAAAAAAATGACCGGCGAAATTTTTGACAAAAGAAGTGACCGGCAAAATTTTCGGCAAATCTGGGTCGGTTGCTGGTCACCTTTTTTTTGTCGGAAAATTCGCTGGAAGGTGGCCTGAACCCTAATGACCTGTGATAGCAGGTCATTAAATTGTTTTTCGGCTTCATTGCACCTAAATAATTGTTGATGGGTGTAATTGAACCTTTAAAAAGTTTAGGGGCCTAATTGACTTTTAAGCTAAAGTTTGAGGGCCGATTTGACTCTTTTCCCAACTTTATTTACGGTTGGTTGAACATTGAGGCATAAATTGAACCCATTTTTGAAATCAAACTTCTGTTTCTTTTTTCTCTGTTGGTACTATAGTGTATTCTGCTGGATAATAGTTTACTTTACTGAACTTGGTATATATTGGGATATATCTCACAACTAGAAACAAGGTTTTTTTTTGTTAATCTTTCTCATGCATTTATGTGATCTTTTCCTTTCAAACAAGTCAGTATGGAGGAACAGGTGATTAGTCGTGCTCACAGGATGGGTGCAACACGCCCTATTTTTGTGGAAACTTTGGCAATGAGCGGTACAATTGAAGACCAAATGCTGAAATTCTTACAGGTAGTGTGCTTATTCTATATTTTATTGGCAAAAATGTCAATTTGGCCCCTATGTTACGACTATTCCAACAATTTTATCCTTTCATTTTTTTTTCTGCCAAAACTGCAATCACTTTGATTAATTTGAGTCAATATTGCCCTTCTATTAGTATTTTGTTTGCCCATCGTCAATTTAACCCATTTGTTACCCAAACCTGGAACTGTCAAGGAACAAAACTCTAAAAAAAAAATCATTTTCACACTTCCTAAAACTTACTCACAGCTCCACTAATAAAAAAGGAAAAAAGAAAAATGTTCTCCCTTTATAGTGTTTTGTACCTTGAGAGTAGCAAGTCAATGCCATGTAGCAGGATTAGGTAAAAAAATTGGTCAAATTAATTGACTGTAGGCAAACAAACTAGTTGAGAGTGTCAGAGTGAAAATTGGGTACCAATATCTAGCATGTTTTGGGGCTTCTAAGTGGTAATTGCAATGACTAGATAAGGATTCCTGATGGCATGAGGTAGTAAACATTATGTGTTTGAATAAACATTTAGTGGTAAATTTCTATCTGCCCATGTTAGCATAGCATTGTTAATGTACAGTGTATTCTTTAATTAAAAGTTTGATTATCAGAAATTTGAAAATTTGATTTCTTGTCTTTTTAATCTAATTTGAAAATCTCTAGGCTGTGTGATGATTAATTGATTACTATAGTCGCTGTACTGGTTATCTTCATCTGTTCCTTTTCGTTTTCCCTTTTCTAATGTGAAAGAGCATGCTAAGATTAGTTTTTATTTATGGATATGGGAATATTGGTAGGTGAATTGCAAATCAGCTTTTTTGGAAATTGAATTATTTACAGTTAAGAACCTTAGAGGGTGTTTGATTCAAGGGATGTTTTGAGGTAATGCAACATTCCCGGGAATCTCACATAACCTAAGAATGTGGGAGGAATATGATTCCCATGAATGTTACCAAAAATGAACTAAAAACAAAGTTTGAGAATCTCATATTCTCACATTCCCTACGACAATGACCTCACGTACTCACATATCCTTGAACCAAACAAGGGAATTTGATATTACAATATGTATGTATTCACATTTCGGAGGTTATGTGAGATAACTGAACCAAACTCCCCCTTAGTGTTTGTTTTGAATGTCATTTGATGGTAGAGAAAGGTTTTTATAGTGAGTTTGTGTGTATAATAAAGTTTTTTTTTTTTTTTTTTGAAAACAAGTATAATAAAGTTTTATGCATTTACTTTTAGGATCCTGATGAATTCAGAAGCCTACTGAAGGAAGCACATGATAAACAAGGTCGTGATGGATCACGACTTCATCGCACAGTACATGACTTTGCTGAAAACAATTATCTGGCTAGGCTTAGCTTCGTTCGCACAAGTTGTTCCGAGACAGAGATAGTATAAGCAGGCAGCATATTCTGGGTGAAAGAGTTTGGTTACCTACTGACCACTGTTGACAAATGACAAGTAATGGGTTCTACTACTAGCCAGGCTTAGGGAATGTGGGCAATCCGGCCTGTTAAGCCAGTAATATGACATCTTACTATAACAGCTTCCCTGATTTTGTGTACACATTAACCAACCTGTAGGCTGTAGATGGGCAAATGAATGTGCTAACTGTTTTGTGGATATACATCTTCTATTCTTTTGAGTTTTGATCAGATGAGATTCCACAATACAGAATTTCCTTCACACGGTACTATAGAATTCCTTTTTCTTTTTGGTACTTGTTCTTGTTGGTGCTTGTTCACTTTATCGGGTTTAGCTGAGCCCTCCAAAGGGTCTTACATGGCATCCTTCAACTCTTTGTACATGCCTATTTTTAATCAATCAATTAATCATTTTTTAGTAATAATAATAATATAGCTACTGTTGTAAATATATATTATTGGGCATTATCTTATGTACAGTTTCTCCCATGTTGTAGCTATATATATTTGTCAGTTGTGAATGACACCAGTTCTTGCATTTCTCCCAGTTTCTTACCCTTACTCTTCTTCTCTCTACTACTCTTTGTATGGTTCTTGAGTATTGTTCTAACAATATGATTATATAGAATTTCCATGAGGATACACAATAATTTATAACATCTACAAATATTCTATTGATTGAACACTTATAAATTTCAATTTTCATGTGTGAATAATTTAAACACATAATATTTATATTTACAATTTCATCTAAAATTGCTCAAGATGTCAGCTAGATTAGTTATTCATAATTTTTATATGTTGTATTGTTTAATTTTATATGAGTAAATAAATTATATAGGTATAAACTATACTAAAAGTTTCATTGAAAACATAAGACTAAAGTTAAAAATTGGAAAAAAAGAAAAAAAAGTTAAAGAAAACAAGTAAAATAGAAAAGTTTATTTAACCCACAAATTGTAGTTGATGTTTTGAAGATTTTAAAACTCATACATGCCTAACCTTATAAGTCAATATTCTCTAAATTATAATTTTATTTTTACATGCCCATTATCCGCTCGCTCACTCAGTAATGTACAATATCTCATATTGAAGGTACAATACAATATTCATAAACTCAACACAATATATATAAATTCAATTCCTAATAAATTCACAAACTTAATCAATGAATAGGTGTGAGTTATCACACGCATAATAGTAACAAATGTCATTTTTTGACAGAATGGTCTTTCACAGCAAATTATTGTGTGAACTATCTACACAGTATGCGGACCATAACATAAAGTATATTTTTAATATACTAAAAATATATTATTTGTGTACTGATTGTACATTATAAAAAAAATAATGTATTTTTCTTACATACAATTTACATTTTTAATATACTAAAAATACATTATTTGTGTATTAAATGTACATTATTTGATAGTATGATCCACACAATAATAATTGTTCTTTCCCCTTCAAGAGAATTTTTAGATCACAAAATCATGTCCACACTTGTCCAATTTTATGCAGTCAATTATAATTCTGTACTCTCATTAAAGCTAAAAATGGATGGATAGAACATTTGAAGAGATGTAATATATATTTTGCTCAAATGGTGAATATATATCATCACTGTTAGTTCTTAGGCTTCTTCTATACAGTTATGTTTGGCTCCCAGACTGATCAGATCACTCACTCCCTGGAGCAAAGAATGGGTTACAATGACAGCATAATATAAATAAACAAAAACCTAACCTCAACTCCATTCTACTTTCTTTCATGTACAATTGCAGCCAGCAGGTTGAAGTGTGACATGCCTGGGGGTGGGTGGGTGGGGGTGGGGGGGCTTCTGTTCACACTGCTAAACTATATATACTCCTGGCTTATATGCAAGTACAACAACACGCCCGGTGACTTGAAAACATAAAAGGAGATGAAACTTGCAACGCCATGCACCTGTTTTAGCGAGTGTGGTACAAGGATCCACCTTTAGAAGCCGAGTTTCTTCCGAGCTTTGTGGCCTAAAGAAGCACTGTCATGTCACCGAGGACCAACGATCCACGCATCGAGGCCTGCCAGCTTGGACTGACGGGAACTGAAATTAAGTTGATAGCTAGCTAAAATTGTCGTCTGCAAAAGCTTTGAGTACGAAATTCTTAAAGCGCTGCGAGTACTGCCTCGGGTCGACAGCGGAGATTGAAGTGGGGTCGTATTGGAACGACTTGTATGCGTGCTCAAGCTTCTTGCTTATGTCATAGTCTTGTAGAATATCGATTATACCAAAGAACAGAATGACATCATAGTACTGCCCTGTAGGTTCTCCAACTAGCACCTCGTCACTTCTCCTCACTGTTAATTCCGCCTTTGCTGCCATGCTGATACCTAAACTACCCGATAGATGCCTGCGAAATTCAATTATACAGTGTCACAAACAAAGAATAACCGTGATGTTTTATCAAGCTAGAAAAAGGTAAAATCTTGTATCTTTACCGTGAAGAGCCTGTGTCTGCGCTAGAAAGTCGACAGGCTCCTCCTTCACACTCCAAATCTCCACTTTCTGTGAGAAAGATCAAAATAGTCAACTCCTCTATCGAGTATACTTCAAACAGTTGATGATTCTAGAAAATTTAGATATATACCTCCGGCTGTATGACCTTCAATTATAACTGGCTCCCCAGAACTCGAAACTTCCTTAAAGTGCACACCAACCAATAGACTGTAATCCATAATTCTCTCCTGTTCCAGGAAATCGCAGTCATGGTCCACTTGCCTGCAAAATGAAATATTCAGACTCTGTTTGGTAGAGCTTATTTTGGAACTTATAACTCATTTTAAGCTACAAGTAAGCAATAAGTTCTGTTTGGTAAAATATAGGAAGTTTACAATAATATTTTGAAAAACCATACCAAGTAGTTTCAATATAAGCTATTGGCTTTTAACTTTTATCTTGTCTTTTTCCTTATTAATTTACAAAAATGATATCATATACCATTCATTAATCAAAACCCTAATATTTTTATTTCGTTTTACACTTGTTAGCTTATTCAAGTGTTAATTTTACCAAACACTTTAATTTCAATTAGTTAGCTTATTAGATACTAGTTTTTCAGCCAGGTGTGTCAAACAGAGCCTTAGTATTGAACATGACCTACATATAGAAGCAACCTGACTGCCATTTGTGTGTTGATGGTAATGAACATTTGTACAAAAATGTAGTTTGCTCTTTACTAAAAATAATCCATAAAAGAAAGTAAAATAAAAAGCAAAAACCAAAGAGACAATTACAAGAATAATCACCCTTAAATCAGCATTTCATTGTGGAATGTGAACTCTATTAACACTTTTTTTGTTTGAAAAGGAATTCCAAAATTTATTTCCCCAGTTTTTTGTTGAAAAGGAATTCATTATTGTCAAATTGAAAATTGAGGCTCTTAAAATTTGCAAAAGTTTAGCCTCTGAATAAAGTTCCAATTTATCCTTTCAATTACTCACACCAAAAAAAAAAAAAAAAAGGTATAAAATGTTCACCTGCAGAACTCTTCATACCAAACTTTATGCAGCCGAAATATTAAATTGAGATCTAGATCCTTGAGAGTGGTAGTAGAATCAATTTCAGATTCAGGTTTATCAGTCAAGCGGCCAAGTGAAGAACCTTTTAAGTCGTAGCGTCTGTGAATGGCAAAATCACTACAGAACAGATTCCCCATGATAACAAACCGCACCTGCTCATCAGACATTATGTATTGAAGGTATAAAGTCCATTAACTACGCAAATACTGCAAGTCGTAACGCAAATATTTCAGTCCAACACTACCTTCTTTTGAGCAGGTCCTATCATCTTCACACAGTGAAGGCCAAAGAATTTGGTAACCAAAGTATTTTCAAAGGAACGGACATGATTGTAATAAGCAGGAAGCATTCGTATGAACACCTGCATGTGTTGATCAAGAAAGCTTTGTTATCACAATTAACGTTATTGAATGCCCCAAAGATGTCCCATACAAATAAAAAACAGCATTTGAAGCTTTCCTTAGATGACTCCACATGTAACTCATTGCAAATCCATAGAGAAGAGAAGCAGAAGAAAAAACTCACTTTTACTTCTGATTTCTTCATGGTTTTTATCATGTATTTGTCATCATTGGTCAAGTAAAAGAAGCTTCCACTTTTCCCAGGGGAAGAGAGCTCGCGAAGGGCATCATTGCCACATATGGATATCATGTAATCTGCTGGATCCACCTTAAACAATTTTCTTAATGTCCTGAAAATATTTATTTTTTTCCCAGATTAACTAGTGGTGAATAATGCTAAAAAACTGCAAAGTAAATCAACCTATTTCAACTTTAAAAACTTCAAAAGCAAAACCTTTTCTTGTTTTATTATGACTAAACCCACCCCGACCTCCCCAACCAACTGATGCCCACAAAAGATTCATATGTTCACACACATTAAGGCCTTGGCCAGGAAAGTTCCAACAAGTATAAGGATTATTTTCCATGTATAGAGTAATAGAGACACGCACAAATATACATATGGGCACATATACATACATTGATACATATACTAATATATACATACATAAAAGGAGAAATTAGCTAGGAGTTCAGGTTAGAGATTTAGTAATCTGTTCTTTCCTTCTCTGAAATGCAATAAATCAAGGCCTAACCTGAAAACCAGTGGGCAGTAATCCTTCCATCTAAAATCACATGATTGATGAGGGGGAGTGTGCTTTGATCCTTCTGGAGGAAATCTTGTCCATACCTTTTCCTTTGGATCGAAAGCGGTAGCTTTCAGATCAAGTGATGTAGCTGGAGCAGGCCTTCCTACAGAATGTCTAAGTAATGGCACTATAAATGAGCTGCTGACAGCAAGACCACAAAACACAAGCACATAGAGGGGTCTAAAGCAATGCTATGAAAATGTAGAAGTACCTCCGTTTGCAAAATCAGGGGAAAAAGTAGATGAAAAGATAAATGAATATAAAGATCTCAAACTGCGCAATCAAAGGGATAAAGAGCCGGACAGTTGAAGGAGAAATTTAATTTGAGATGAGTACCTTATTCCTAGCTGCAAATTGAGCATAAGCTCATAATTCTTATGATCTTTAGATATTGTTTCTCCCTGAGTCTTTGCTGGTTGGATTTTGAAGCAATGGGATCTCAACCCCCTTGGAGCATCTGGATCATTACCATTAAAACTATCAAGCCCTTCACTTCTTTGTGATACACATTGTCCAAAAACAATATCTGAACGCATATCAGAATCAGTGTCAATATTAAAGCCCTCTCCATCGCTGAGCCTCCCGTCCACAGACTTCCGTCTAGGCTTTATCTTCATTTTATTAACCTTCCCTATGAGCTGCTTCTGCAAGAACTCCCCTTCACAAGGCCAGTTTATCATCTTTTCTGAAGGAAACACAGTTATCTCTTCTCCAGTAGCTAGCTTACATTCCTTCAAATGAACTGAATACAATTCTCGAGGATCCCAGTTAGAACTACCCGGTTTTGAATCCGAAGTGTAAAACGTCCCACTCTGCTCGTTAGGGTCCCTACTCCAGACACCCATATAGAAACTTCCATCCTCCCATCGAAACGCACCATTTCCTTTAGGCTCTCCATCTTCCCAGCATCCATCATACTTATTCCCATTTGCCCACAGCATTACCCCATTGCCATTCATCTTCCCATTCTTCCATTGTCCAATGTACTGATTCCCATTGGGCCACTGGTACCTTCCCTGCCCATCTGGCAGCCCACGGCGCCATTCCCCAGTATAGCAATCCCCATTGGGGAAATTCCTGGAGCCCTTACCATGTTTCATGTTGAAAGCCCATGAGCCTTTGTAGGTGTCATTGGAGCAGCCAGTGAAAAGGCCCTCGCCATCGATGTAGCCGTTCTTGAATTGGCCATCATAGGTGGTTCCAGATGGCCAACTGAACTTCCCCTTGCCCATGGTCTTGCCACCTACCCAGTCCCCAATATACATACACCCATCAGACCACAGGTACTTGCCCTGCCCATTGGGGCAGTTGTCTGACCACTGCCCTGTATACATGTCTCCATGGGAGAAAACTTTCTCAACGTGGTAGACATCCCCAGGAACATCAAGGTCATCATCCACATGGGACACCGACATTGTCGAAAAAATGCCATTTGCCCTTCTCTTTGCAGCTGCTTGTGATTTCCTTAATGTCATTTCCCAGGCCCTCACAATGCCACCGAATTCTTTGCTCATTCTCTCCGCCAACTAACCCACGCTCCTATCTATCAATCCTCTTCTATATTACTAACCCCCTTTATTCTTATTTAACCCAGATCAATCTTCATTTCTTTCCCCAATGAGAGATTCAGAAGAAAACCACCAAACATTTCTGCACTCTACACACGCCCTACCTAAATACACCCATAAGCAAAAAAGTGTCAGTAATTTTTCTGAAAAGAAGAAAACCATCAAGCATTTCTACAAACACCTTACACACACCCAACAACAAATGAATAAAGATGCATTACGAAAACGGAAACCTCTGCTATTGCCCGTACCACGTGTCAGATTTTTCAGAAATGAGGTCGGGAAAGGCTTGGCCAAGAGGAGCGCTGTTACATTGGCAGGAACAAGGAGAAGAAGAAGAAACAAATTGTTGTCAAAAACAATCATGAAGACCCAGAATTGGGTCGGTATCTCTGCTCTGTATGTACAAATTGATTGATTTGAAGAAACGTGCGTCTGTCTCTTTTGTTGTTGCTTTATCCGCGATGATGATGAGGCGATAGATTTGGCAGGAATGGAAAGCAACAGGCAACAGGCAACAGGCAGGCAGGGTGTCTCTTTCTTTTGTTTTTGTTTAAAATTTTTTCTAAAATTTTTGTCCTTTCACAATCTTGCTGTTTTTCTTGATTGAGGTTGACCAAGAATCCGTTGTTGGTCCCCGGGTTTGGCTCCGAAATCGGCTACAAATGCGAAGATCACAGACACATGCCTATGATGCCGATCATGCTTTTACCATTTTCTTCGGCGTACCGCAGCACTCTTTCGCTATGCCCATGCCGCCCGCACCACACTATTGCAAATCCACCGTGTTTTATCACATTCACCGTCTTCTATCTTTCTCCTAATAAATATTCTCAACTTTTATTCTTCCGTTGAATCCCAATCTCAAGGACCCCACACCCGGACTCTACGAAATATTTGGGAAGATGTAAATCATGATAATGATCATCTTCCCAAACTTCACCCCACCAGTTGAGCTGCCGGAGCATATTCTCAACTTTTATTCTAATTATTACTCTCTTCCCAAAAGCTGAATTCTTAACTTCAATGGTCCTCACGCCCTAATCCAATGGAGCATTTAAAATAATGTAAAATTACCATAACTTAATAGTTCAGCAGATAAGGTCAACGTTGCACATTAGGAATCTGTATAATGCCTACTTTAGACATTTTCTTCAAATATTACCTATTGAACTAATGAGTTAAACTCGTAAGGATAATTCTAATCACTTCTATTATTCCATTGTCATATTCAAATCTTTTAATAATAGTTAGGAGCATTATCATGATCTATAGATTTTGAGGAGTTTTTACGTGTGTGACTAGGAAAAATAATATGAGAGAGAAGAGAAGAAAAGAAAAGAAAAAAAAAACAAAACAAAACAAATTTGAAAAACAAAAAAATAAAAAGATAAGCCTCAGATTAACGTGCCCGATCGCTTGCAGAGGCTGGGCACTGTGGTTGTGCTTCACATGACGAGGGGGGGTTTTTTTCCTTGGTGGGTCCCACAGGTATGATAAACACTAACAGGGCGTTTGGTTGGGAGTAAGGAATTATGGTGGAAAGGAATTGCAATTCGGTGGGAAAAGAATAAGGTGGGAATAAAGTAGGAATTCAAATTACATTGTTTGGTAGAGATGAATAGAATTATTGGGTAGGGAATGAAAGAAGTGATATAAAGACTAAAATGTCCTTGTGTAATAATAATAGTAGTAATAACTAAGGGTACTTTTGTCATTTCAGTCATTTTTCCTTTTCCAACAACCACCGAATTGCAATTCATAGGGGGGTGCCCATGAATTGCAATTCAGCAAAAGGAGGGAATTGCAATTCTGTGGAATTGCAATTCCCTCAAACCAAACAACGTAATTGTGGCTTCCACTGAATTGCAATTCAACTACAGCCAAATTACGCCCAACCAAACAGACCATAAGACTTTGTAGGAAGATTATTCACACTTTCTCTCTTTCACATATGTTTAAAAACTTGTAAAAATCTTTCAAAATTCACTATTGTGAATGCCCTAAATGCATTCCCATTCCGCTTCATTTGATCATGATTCTATGTTTACAATCAAAGAAAAGAGATAAGATTGTATATATTGCCATGTCACGTGATTTAGTATTTCTAGTAATCAAATAACGTGAATAATGTCCAACAGTGAGCAAGAATTACCAAATCTGTTAAATCGATCTAATTCGTATCCACTTAAAGTGGATGGGATATCGATCCACTTGGTGAAAATCTGCCACTAATGTATTGGATACAAATGTGACTTTTACAAAATTCCCTATATCAAATCTACTCTGCTATCTTAAACAATCATTGAATTTGACATTTGACAACCTTGAACTTTTCTAATAAAGATTATGAAATATTTTCATCATGTGCTATAATAAGAAATTAGTTTCTAATTTGCTTGGATGAACAAATTAGAAAGAATCAAAAAGTCTTGAAGTTTAGGAAGGTTCAAAATAAAGATTGGAAAATTGATTACTTTGATTTTTTTTAATGTTTGAAATCTTATATATTATAAATTAGTTTATTTTTTAAATTTAAAATTCGTCATTCGATGCGCATTCAATCCTCTAAAGCTACTATTAGCGGATCGGATCCGCACCTTTTACGGATGCAAATGTTGATAAGATTTCTCAAATTCATCTTTAACGGATTGGATGTGAATTCTCTCAAAATACGCTTCAATCCGCTCTGCACTCACCCCTATTCCATAGAACTTGACTCAATCATTTAAGAGTCGATATATACAACTTAGTATCTATGTATATTTACGAAGGTACAAACCGTACAATACAATAACTTTATTATCCAAAATTATTGTATGAGAGAGATTAAGAAAATTGAAGTGAAATTATAAATTTAGCCTTAAATAATTGTTTTAAGGCTGAAATTAGTTGTTTCTAACATTTTCGATCAATGAGAAAAAATAAATATCATTATGTTATTAATTAGATAGTCAAATTGGATACATTTAGTGACTAAATTTATTATATGTTATTACTGATAACTAAAAACTTCATTTTTTTAAAATGAGGAAATAATGTTATCTGTTTTATTAAAAAAATTATTTTTGATAAATAAATAATTGTAGTGTGTCAACTTCATATTGACTTCAAAGCCTTAAAATATTGGGAGTGGTGAAGCATAAGCAGTTCCAATGTCTTACCAAAATGAGTCAAACTCAATTAAATAAATAACCAAAATGTGTAAGCAATTTATAAAATAGTTTGATAAATTAATGCCTCCAAGACATTATTTAAAATGCCGTATTAGTCAGTCGAGAGAGATTAATGTGCTCCACGTTTGTGGTCCATCACCAGTCACCATTAAATTAATATAATAGTGAATGGCATAAATGCAATAAACAAATAACACTATTAATCAATAAACATCTTTAACCAACATGGTTGACGTGGTGGTCCAGTACCTTGTTCCTTAAGTATGAGGTTGGGGCTTTGATCCCTACCTATGTGAATGGAGCAAATCATAGGGACGGGGATTAACCTTCTAGCTATCTGGAAAGATACCTTTTGGACAACCTAAAAAAGGGAAAATTATAGGGAGTAGGTCTCTAGTTATATGTCATGATTTTATTGATAAAAGAGAAAGAAATTAATAAAATTGTGGTTTATTTTTTTTAATTAAATAAATCAAAACATGTCACATGAGTTGAGAGAAAATAATTAAAAGTATGGATAGTATTATTTAATTAAAAGCTGCAGGAGGAGCACGATACTAACTCATAGTAATCATGGCGTAAGTCCTTGTCTTTGGCCATGAGGCATGACCACGTATAAAGGCAACAGTAGGGGCAGTGGGAGCAGATTGCATGGGTGGGAGCGAAACTGGTACTGGTAAATAGGCGGTTCAGAACACGACTGCAAGACAGAACCAGCCCAAGGACGAGGCTGAGAAACCGAAGGTGCCTGCAAACATATATCTTATTAGTGTGCAAGTTCTTGCACCTATACCCCTGGAAGAGAAAAGAGAAAAACTACATCATCAAACCGCAAATGCCTGCAAACATATATCTTATTAGTGTGCAAGTTCTTGCACCTATACCCCTGGAATGAATCAGGATACCCTAAGAAGACACAAGGAGAAGATTCGTAGCTCATTTTATGACGATTGTATGGTCTTAGATGAGGATAACACAAGCAACCAAAGACACGAAGAAAGGAATATGACGGTTGATACTTATGCAACATATAATGAGGACTAGAATTATTCAAGACACTGGACAACATTCTATTGATAAGGTAAACAACAGTCTCAAAAGCAAAATTTCAAAACCGAGATGAAACAGAGGCATGAGCCATAAGAGTCAACCCAGTCTCAACAATATGTCTATGTCATCGTTCTACACAACCATTCTGCTCATGAGTGTATGCACAGGATTGTCTATGATTAATACCTAGTTGCTGAAATAAAGAATGCAATTTTTTATACTCAGCACCTAGATAAGATTGGATGGATTTTATTTTACGGGAAAAGAAGCCATCAACCATGACATGAAAGCGATCAAAAATAGCACAAAGATCATATTTTAATCGCATAGGAAAATACCAAGTATAACGAGAATAGTCATCCACAAAGATAACAAAATAACGATATTCATTATAAGACCAAAAGGGGTGCTGGCCCCCAAAAATCAATATAAACTAACTCAAGAATATTCGAACTAGTAGACTCAACACGTGACAAAGGAAAACGTGCAGATTTCCCTAATTGACACGCAGAACAAAAATTAGAATTACAACGAATAGAACGACCAGACCCACTAATGGAACACGACTGGAAACACACTGATGTGGATGACCTAAACGGTCGTGACAAACCGAAGCAAAGGCATGAGCAAAAAGAAACCCAGAGGGTGAAGAACGTGGAACAAGCAGACTATATAATCCACTAGAACTATTAGTCCGTAGTAGAATTTCCTTGGTGGTGATATCCTTCACAACAACAAAAAAAATGGTGAAACTCAAAAAACACATTGTTATCTAAAGCAAAACGTTGAACAAATAACAAAGACGTACACAAACCAAGAAACTGTTGTTTATTTTATAAACAGAATGTCATCCAGTGTCTTGAATAATTCCATTCCTCATCTTATGCTACCTAAATCTCCTCCGTCTTATTCTTTTCTTCGTGTCATTGGTTATCTATGATATCCTCACCTAAGACCTTACAATCGTCATAAAATGTACTACAAATCCTCTCCTTGTGTCTTCTTAGGTTATCCTAACTCTTTTCGGGGGTATCTCTTTTCGGGGGTATAGGTGCATGGACTTACAGACTAATAAGGTATGTATTTGTAGACATGTACGATTTGATGAGGCAGTTTTTCCCTTTGCTACTAAGACTATTTTGCAGGCACCTCCTGTAACACCCCGTTTTTCTAAAATCTAAAACCCGATATAATCAAACTTAATTAAGATAAATCAAGGATAACTTAAGTAACTAAAATATCCATCCAAAAAGGAAAACTAAAAGGGAATGTCACCACCCCAGTCACCACTCACGGTAACTGCACAGGCTACAAAACATCTACGGGAGCTAGAGTCAATGCTCATCAAAACAGTAATACAGGGGAAACAACCCCGGTGTCTACGCACCATCAAAAAGGTAGTTCACTACAATCAGTTAAAAGTACTACTAAAGGAAGAGATACTGATCTAGCAACTACCACAACTAAAGCTACGCACTAAACTATCATCGTGCGCTCTCAAGTACTGGGTCCACCTAAAAGGGGTTAAAAAAAAAAAACAAGTAGGAAAATAAACCCATTAGCAATTAATGTTAAGTATAAAGTCACTCAACCCTGTAAAGTACTATAGATATATGTTGGAAAACATTTTGCATTCACACACATTCTCAAGTATGAATAAAAGCAATTAAGATACTTAGTCATAGATCTCAATAGATATACATATATACTTCTATATGCTCGCAACCTATAAACTCATATAAACAGGCTTTAACTCATAACTTATACTTATGCACATACACATGCCACAAACAGATATAAGTCATCTATATTCTACTATGCATTTCTCATAATCAAGATGATACTTTCAAGATAGATAATGAGATGAATGAAGTTTAATAAGTAAGGTCATGCTTTCATGTTACTACTTAAACAATGAATGATACTGTACTTTTCAGTTACTCGCAATGAGACTCAAACTATGACATGATATGAACAAGGATATGATGTTATACATATATATACATAGATATATATACTTATACTCTCGCTCTTTATCAAAAAGAAATATTTTTTCTGTGGAGGATCTCTGTTTGAGTCACTTGACTCGCTTTTCTCTTCTTTCTTCTTTCTTGCTTTCTTTCTGAACTCGCGGGCGAGGTAGGAACTTCACGAATCGTGAATGGACCTATCCAGGCTCGGCATCTAGCCGGCCTAATACTCATCTCGCCCACAGAACCGATACTCATGGTTTTTATAAAAAAAAAAAAACTCTATGGAATCAGATATCGTACTTTCAGTATGCACACCCGCTAACTAGGATTCCAAGCCCAGTGGGTAGTATCCAACCTAGCAACTCGGGATTGTTCTACCAAGTTACTTCTAGAATAAACTGTCGGTCCTCAGTGACCGTTTCTTTCTTTTCTCAAAACTTCTTTCTTTCTCCAAAACGGGGACCTCCAAAACAAGGATTTTTCCTCACCACATAAATAGTATATATCACACATGCAACTTCTTTACTCAAGCTAGTAATCTTGATGTCATGCAAGCTTCTCAATGCACAAATACATCTCATATAACTTCTCTTTCTTATAATGGAAAACTAAATATCATGAGAACTTCTCAATGCAAAAAGATATAGATTTTCCAAAATAGATATAAGGTTTTGAAATATAACTTAGGCTTTACTTTGCCTCAACTCTACATAAATCATGAAATTGATGAGCATGCTATTTTACTGTGAAACTTAGAATGCACTGCCTTAAACAATTAATCTCAAATAACTAAACAAATCATCAACTTAAGAATTAAACAAAGTAAATAGCATAGCTACAACACAATCTTGAGAATAGAAGCAAAATATATACTTCACTGTCATGCATTTCAAAGCCTCAAATACACAAAGTTCATCTTTTTCATGCTTCTGCTAAACATGCTTCTACTTGAAATTAAACGAAACAACTCATACTAGCGCGTCGTTACAAACCCGAGTGTCCGAGCCTCAAAGGGCCCGGCCTTCTCAAAACTTGACATGGTGGAGCTTAGTGACGGGGCTTGAGGAGCCCCTCCACTTGACTCCGGCAAGCAGCGGCCTTGAGTGACGGCTGAGATCTGTCACCCTGGTCCGTTGGATCACAGTCATAGCCAGCGGATCTCTCCTAGATCCGTTGGCTAGGGCCGTAAGGCAAGTCTGGTGCACCAGACAGTGTGCACCAGAGGTCTTATTCTCCAAAGATTCAACACAGAGCTCAAATAAATGCTTCCAGACCACAATAAATCAAACATATAACATCATCAACACACAAATAACTCAACAACAAGTATTCTCTAACATTTCTAAGCAACTAATCTCAAGAATCTAGCATTAATAGACTAAAAATCATAGTTTTGAGTTGTCACACCTCCAGTTCCACAGGCTCAACCTCTGGTTGAATCCGTTTTGCAGCCATGTCATAACACGTCAGTTGTACTTGTGGACTCTGTACAACAAGTTTCAACTGCTCCTATTGTGTGAAATCTTGGTGCTACTTATATTAGTGCAAATCCGATCTTCCATGCTCGCAACAAACATGTTGAAACTGATTACAATTTTGTCAGAGACAGAGTTTCATCTGGAGATATTCAAGTTAATTTTATTTCAACGAAAGATCAACTTGCTGATATATTTACAAAAGCTTTACCTAGTCATAAATTTTCTTTTCTTAGAGACGAGCTACAAATTACTAGTTTATCATGTGCTTGATGAGGAGTATTAAGACTCTATGTATTTGAGTTATATTATGACTCTCTATCATAATCTCACCGTGATTTCCTCACTATATATATATATATATATATATATATATATATATATATATATATATATATATATATATGTGTGTGTGTGTGTGTGTGTGTGTGTGTGTGTGTGTGTGTATGTATGTATGTATGTATCCTATATCTTTGTAATCAAGTTCAATCAATACAATTCATTCCATTCCCATCTTTGTTATACTAAACCATACATACTAAACTTTAAACAATCAAAAGTGAACTTCTAAACTAGGCTAGAAACAAAACCTTAAAAAAAATAAAAAAATACTTGAGCATTTCAAATTTAATTAGATCATTTTAAAACCTCATAGGATTTAATTTGATTGAAATAATAGTTGAAGATTAAAAATAAAACTATTATTATAAATAATAAATCAAAATAAAACTATTATTATAAATAATAAATCAAAAGCAATATTACACAAAGGTCCAAATTTGTAACCGGCTATATGTTTAAGATGAGACGTTGAAAATAATAGCTGATTCGAAACCGAACCACTACCCTTTATGCGTAAAAATCTAAAATAGTATTATCTCAATTTAAAACAAGGGGTTTGTAGTCCATTGGTATCCGGTTGCTCCTTTAAGTGGAAGGTGAAAGGTTTAAACCTTACTTGAGTCAAGTAGTTTGTATGTAGGGTATCCCCCTTCCTTATAATAATAATTAAAAAAAAAAAGACAAGAAACAAGAGTTAATTAAGAATTTGGTCCTTTAACTATGAAGATTTCACTAATCTGATCCCCGACTTTCAAAATTCTTCAATTTAATCATTAACTATGTTTTTTTTTTAAAAAAAAATCCAAAATGATCCTAACCATTAGACATCCGTTAACTCGGGATCAAATTGATAATTTCGCTATAGTCAAAGGACCATTTCAGTAATTAACTTTCGAAGAAAATAGTGCATGTGATGACTAATGGTTCATTGACTATAACAAAATTGCCAAATTGGTCCCGAATTAACGGATGTCTAACCGTTAGGATCATTTCGGATGAAAAAAACATAATCAGAGATTAACAGAGCGTTTGATTAGAAGGAATGAATTAAGGGGGAAAGGAATTGTAATTCAGTGGAAAAAGAATAAGGTGGGAATAAAGTAGAAATTACAATTACATTGTTTGGTAGAGAAGAATAATGAAAATGAGAGAAGTGATATAAAGACTAAAATACTCTTTTGTAATAATATTAATAATAATAATAATATTCAAGGACAAATATGTCATTTCTTTCCTTTTTCCTTTTTATTATATAGATGAATTCATTGAATTGCAATTCCCTCCAACCAAACAATATAGTTTATCATTTTATTGAATTGTAATTCAATGTCAATGTGCATTCAAAAAAAAGTAATTCAATGTCAATGTAATTTATGCCAACCAAACACTCCATAAATTAAAGAATTTTAAAAGTCTAGGACCAGATTAATGAAATACCCATAGTCTATGGACGAAATCGGTAATGACCAAGAAACAATAACAGGGACGTCCAACGACGCAAAATTGCCATTTGGCGCACCAGACAAAAACAAAAGGAAAACAAACTCCGAAAGTGGTTGGCTTCGTTGTCAGCCTCAGCCAGGGTTCCAAAAAGTTCCATTCTTCATCTCTATCTCTCCCTCCATAATTCCACTCTGTCATCCCGCGTCATCTACTGTTACCATATTTCTTTCTCACTGGAAAAATGCCTGTCGCCCCGTCGCTCTCTTGAAATTGGATGCCCATTTCCGTCCAAAAAGGTAAAACCAAATCCAAACTTTCAGCTTTAAGTCTGGTTTACAGATACGCCTCTGCTCCTACTTTACCACTTGTTCTTCGAGTTACTCGAGTGTGTGTGAAATGGCAAATTTTTTTATTTTTTCTTAATCTTTTATCTTTTCTTCTACGTTTCAGCATTGACCCAAAACTGATCATTTGGATATGGTTCTGATTTTCTTTGGATTCTCTAATGATGTTTGATCCTTTTGATGTTTACGTTGCTGAAATTATTTACTGTTTTTTCATTATTCGATTAAATTTATTTTTAAAGATGCCATGATTTGGTGACTGGTACTTGATAGTAACTTGCATGGGTCGCCCTATTCGATTAGGTGAGATGCTTGTGGCTATGGCAACCTAGCTAGCTGTTGCCATTGCAATAGGAGTATGGGGGGATTATCACTTACTCATCATGTGAAACAAACCAACTGCTATTAACTAAAGTCTAAGCTACCAAGATTCTATTTTTAGTAGAAGGGACCAGTTTAAATTGACAATGGCTTCTTGATAGCACACAGGATTGGTTGCAGATGACTTGGCATGGGGGTTTAGTATCTTAATGGCTTTTGATGGGTGAGCCATTCCACAAAGTACAAAAAGGGCAGGAGAATCATGGGGTATACTTGCCAATAACCCTTTAAAAGATGAGTGTTTTTTTTTTTTGGGTCAAACCATGAAGTGTCCTGAGCAGGTCCTAATTGTATGAGGCACCTTTAAACCCGTACCATACTACTAATCCCCGGTTCGCACCGGGCCGGCCCAATTAAGAGGCAAAGTGCTGGCCAGATTGGTTTTTCCATACGAGAGGGGGTTCAACTCCCGAACTCTCTTAAGGGACAAGAGTGCATGGCCACTCACACCAACCAAGCTGGTTAGATGGTCGGTGTTTAATTGTTGATAGTGAAATTTAGTGGTAAAATATTTTTGGCGAAGGTGCTTTTAGTTGTAGGGGGTTGCCCTTTTGAGTGTGGGGGCTTTGCTAGAATCCATTTTCTCTATGTGGATAGGACTCTAGCAATTGGTTGTGTCATGGACATACTAACTAATACATTCAGTTGGTGAGATTTGGATGTAGACACATTGACTTAGAAGTTAGAACTTCTTGCCCATATTATTTTGACAAAAAAAATTAGAGCTTTTTAAGGTCTGCACTTGAAACCAATTTGGTTTGTGATCTCATTCTTTGAACTGATTATATAGGAGAATAGTATGCTGTGACTCACTCTGGATATGTTTTTAGTTGATTGGGAATTCATATCTTAATTGTCGTTTTGTGGAAAACATTTTGCCGCCCTAAATCTTAGCTGAATCAGGCTAACAAATTTCTTCTTCTTGCAGATTCCGTTCAAATTCTGATCCTCTGTGGAATTTATTCAACATTTTGGCTTATTGGGTTCAATAGTTCCAAAGCTTGATTATTCCTTTCACACCTGCCTTCAAAGCACTTTCTACATTGCATTTATATTCAGTTATGAAATTCATTACATAATATATAGTCATGATTTCGAAGAAAAATATTGGACATGCAACGCCATTATTGCTGTTTCTTCTGTCACTTGGGTTTTTCCTTGCAACTTATAATTTGATCACAGTGATTATTCACTACAAAACCGTTCGTTCTGTGAAATGGATCCCTGGTGGTCCGGGTAGTCAGCCCTTTCGTGATCCTGTTGTTGAGATGCCTAAGAGCATAAGAAAGGCGAAGAAAGGAAAATTGTTATTCCATATTGCCATGACAGCAACTAATGTTACTTATAGCAAATGGCAATGCCGCATTATGTATTACTGGTACATGAAGCAGAAGGATTTGCCTGGCTCGGAGATGGGAAAATTCACTCGAATTCTTCATTCAGGTGGGCCCGACAATCTAATGGATGAAATTCCTACCGTTGTGGTTGATCCTCTTCCAGAAGGGCTAGATCGGGTGAGACAAAGCCATCTTGACCTATCCTTGCCATGATATATGTGTGCTTTTGCATACTTTATGTATCTTTTAAGTCGGTTTATGTACCTTTGAGTGGTTGTTTTTGGGTCATATTTAGTCGATCTCAAAACTCGGGTTTTTGGATTTCTTATTGAAATCCTGGGCTTTACATCACCACGGTGGATTTGACATATTCAAAATTGCCTTAGCTATTCATGACAATCCATAGCAGGGTTATGGCCATTCTTTTTAAATCCTAATGTGCCTTTGTTTCAGGGTTATGTTGTTCTAAATCGACCTTGGGCTTTTGTGCAATGGCTGGAAAAGGCTACCATAGAGGAAGAGTACGTTTCCTTCTGTTTACATGAGATTGCATAGTTAATCGTGTTTATGAAAGATTAAAGCTTCTTCTTTTTTTTTTTTTGGGTTTTTTTGGCAGGTACGTATTGATGGCAGAGCCTGATCATATTTTTCTAAAACCACTGCCAAATTTGGCTCACGGGGACTACCCTGCCGGTTACCCATTTTTCTATATTAAACCTGCTGAACATGAAAAAATCATAAGGAAGTTCTTTCCCGAAGAGAATGGTCCAGTAACGAATATCGATCCAATCGGCAATTCTCCTGTCATTATTAAGAAGGTAAAATAACGTGGCAATAACATAGTCAAGAATGAACTGACTCTGTAATGGGATTCTCTTTCTGGACTGTTTTAGTTCTTGACTCAACTCTTTATCATTATTTGCTATTACTTGCTAATATTAGTCCGAAATATTAATGTAACAATTTTTTTTAGGATTTGTTGGAGATAATTGCACCTACTTGGATGAATGTTTCTTTGAGAATGAAACATGATCCCGAGACTGATAACACTTTTGGCTGGGTTCTGGAAATGTGAGTTGCGAGACTTTTAACAACTTTCATTGCCCTTATGAGATGAACGTGATCTTTCCCGCAAAAATGGGGTTTTTACGTTCTTAATTATGCTTTGATGAACAAAAGGTACGCGTATGCTGTAGCTTCTGCTCTGCACGGTGTACAACATATTCTTATCAAGGACTTCATGATACAGGTAGGTTTTGTGCGTTTTTTTTTTTCTTTTTGCTTCGTTATTCATTATATATATACTTCGGTGCATGGTAGCTGCAGTTTTATAAATTACGAGAATTCGTTGAAACTTGTATTGTTGTTGGCTTTCAGCCGCCATGGGATTTGGAAGTTAAAAATAAGTTTATCCTGCATTTTACATACGGGTGTGACTACAATATGAAGGTAAAAATTGTTTCTCGATTCCATGTGTTTATCCCGTGATGCTTATAAACTTACCGTCGAGCTTATTTATCAGGGTGAGTTGACTTATGGAAAAGTCGGGGAGTGGCGATTTGACAAGAGATCACACCTCCAGAGACCTCCACCGAGAAACATCCCTTTGCCTCCACCGGGTGTCCCGGAAAGTGTGGTATGATTAAACATTCTCTCCAAGCCAGTTGCACTCGTCACTTTGAAATGCTAGTTTCTCCGTACACAGTAACTTGCAAAATTTACGGTTTCCTGTAGCAATAGACTGTTGTTTGTAGTTATTTTTACGTCTTTTTCACCGGGACGCCATTTGAAAGTCATTGTTGCAAGCCATACGAAAGTGAAGAGAGAGTTTCTAATGTGCTGTCGTATATTGTCTCAAATTGTCTTATAAAAAAGAGAATACAAAGCCCTATAAATAGGTATTAGAAGACTACAAATAGGAAACAAGTTTCTATATGTCCTACCTACCTAAACCCCTAAGACTGCCTAATATATAGAGATTCTATATATCAAATATATATTCCATAAAAGTATTGAACAGAACTAGTAGCTGGGGGCCTTTCTGTTGTCTTTTTGATTGATTATTACTCTTTTATGTTGGTGGGGGTGTTTGGGAATTGTGACTAGAGAGGAACTGGGCAGCTATGATTGAATTGACAGTTGTAGGTCTTCTACAATGTGATGTGGGGGCTGTTCTCAATCTTTTTTCATTTTCGTCGTATTTTGATTTTGCATTATCCATTGCACAATCTTGCTTGAATGCCATAGAAATTTTCCGAATCTTTTTATCAAATGATTCCATTTTTTGGGGGTGACGAGGGAAACCTGCAGCCACTACCCGAGAGTGTGCACTGGGTAAACCCCGCATTGTGACCCTAGCCAGCAAAGGACCACAAGGAGGTAAACCAGCTTAGGTTGCCCATAGCTGACCGGCTCGAACCAAGAGGGCTGGGATTCGAATTTGTGACCTTGTGGTTACAATTTTAATCTATAATTGACCTTACTGAGTTTATCTTTCCCTAAAGCATTTTCGGTTTCTTCTATGTTTCCAAACTTCTCTTCTTCGATTATATTCTGGCAGTGGGGGTGCAACCTGCGTGCAATAATTGAAGAAGCATTCTATTGTCGTTTCTTGTGAAGTTTCGATTTATTTGTCTGTTCATAACAACATTCAATGTACAATCGATTTGGAAATCTGGAAAGGGCTATTCTTTAGCAAAGATGTGTGAACATCATGATGGGTATGATGACTGTATTTAATCACACAATTGATGCTTTTGCAGGTCGCTCTTGTGAAGATGGTAAATGAAGCCACCGCCAACCTTCCCAACTGGGAATCTTTCATCTGAACCGTACCACTGCACGGTAAAAACATCTCTCGGTTTTTAAATCCAAGGAAATTCCCGGGCTACGTAAAGGAATCCAATGCACAAATAATACTTGTTGACAAATCCCGGCACACAACATCATGTTAAGACAAAAGTGTTAGCACGTAGTCAAGGCGGAAACTCCTGTGAACACGATTAGGTCATGTTTACATTTAGTTTAAGTAGATTAGATGTTTGTGTTGAGCCCATCAAGAATCTGTTTGTGGTGTAACAGGATATATGTTTTTGAGGTTTAGAGTTTAGAGTCCAGAATATAGCATAGTGGGGAAAATTAGAATATGGGAAATGGCCAAGAAAGGTGATTTACTGAGTATAGTATATTATTTCACAAAATGAAATGTCATTTTTGTCCCATGAGAGCATCCATGATCCCACTTTTTTTTTTTTTTGCTCTTATCATCTTCTTCAGATCTTTGCAGCCTTTGTGTTCAGTTTTTACTGTTTACATATTTTAAATGGCATACCATACCTGTAGGCTTTTGGATTCCACATCTGAACATGGGCCCCACTGTAGCTGCTGAGTATTTTACACCATACAAGTTACACTTGGCTCTGCTCCAAATTCAGTGGAGAGATGCCATGCCAAGGGATCTGAAGAGGTTTGAAGTTTTTTTTTTTTTTTTTTTTTTTTTTTTTTTTTTTTTTTTTTCCTGAAAGAGAACATTTCATTAAATCAAGTCCGAAGACAGAACATTACAAAGATAGAGATGAGGGTTAGTAAGTAAATCACTCTGAATAACCAGACCTAGAAACAAATAGGTTGTCATGTTCGCTGATCGTTTTGAAAAAGATAAAAATACATACTGACTTGCAAGATGTTTGAAGTTTAAAACAAAGAATTCACAAGTGATATTGGCTCAAGTGAAAAGGGTGACTTAAGTGGAATGGGTGCGAGTTGCTTAAGCATGAGATTTCCCGAATGGTGGCCGGTTCAACTAGATTTTAAATAGTTTTTGTTTTAATAGGCGCCGATGTAAATTGAATCATATAACTCTAACATTGATTACATGTTATTCATCTAAGTAGTAAAAAGGTTAAATAAACAAGAAACTAAGAATAAAAGTTCTTGGCGGCTCGAGGAATGAGGATACAAAAAGCACAATGTGTATTGATTTTGGCCATGGCGATCTCCTTCGTCTCGGAGCAGTTTGCTTCAAAAGTGGTGTTGTTTGCAAGAAGGGAAATTGTAATCGTCTGCTAGACTCCATTAATTGTTTGAAATACTTTATTCATCGTAGTCATTTACAAAGTGTGTCATCTCGAGTCTGACCATTTGGCAATCCGCAACATCTTGGTTGATGATATTTACCCCAACAATAATGAATTATTTAAATTATTCTTAAACATGATCTCAAGTGCCGGTATTATGAATGAAATGATATATGTTAAAAAAATTCTCCAACAAGTGCAATTCAATTCTGAATTATTAGTCAAAACTTAGGGTCCGCTTAGAAATTCAGAAAATGTTTTCTGAAAGTCATTTTCTGAATTTTCTTGTGTTTGGCTATTCAAGGAAAATACAAGCAATGGAAAACATTCATTTTTTTTTTTGGTACAATGGAAACCATTCATTATGATCAATAGAAAAAAGACTCAATTTGACATAAAATGTCTTCTTAGATATTTAGTCAAAAGACATTTTCTGAATTATTTATTGTCTATGTTTATCTTTTTTCTCTCATCCATTTTCAAATTTTCAGATTATTATTTTTGCCGCCACCACCACACTACCACTAACGCCAACACCACCACCACACTATCGCTAAAGCCAACACCACCACCACACTACCGCTACCACTAACACCACCACCATCACCATCACCATCACCACCACCATACCACTACTTATTATTATTATTATTATTGTTATTGTTGTTGTTGTTGTTTTTGTTATATAACAAATAATATGTTCATTTTCAGAAAATGAACTAAACAGGAAAAAATACAATTTTTTAACTTTCAACCAAACAGAGAAATGTAATTTTTAGACATTCAACCAAACTCTAGAAAATTAAAATATTTTTTAAAAAAATGAGTCATTTTTAAAAAATTATTTTACATAAAACATTTTCTAGATTTTTAAACCGACCCTTAATGTAAATACCAAATACAGACAAAAAAATACCCAACCCAATCTTTTATCTCATTAATGCTATTACCCTTAACAACACATGCATGATGTTCTTACACTTAGATCTGATGTCAAACACACTATTGATTTACCCAAAAAGTTGTACCCAAAGGGGTACTGGTAATGTGAGAGAAGGACATGGAATGGCAGTAGAATCACATGCAGCGCAGCTTACACTGCCATTTTTGTGATTTAAAGTCTGGATCTGACCTTCACTGCACTACACCAGTCACCAGGCAGGCACTTTGTCTATTATTTGCATTTGCTTCTTTCTCCTTTTAGTTCACTGCATTTTTCTTGCATGTATGTGTTGGTCACAATGTGACAAAACCACCCCTACTCCCATAATAATTGTTGTTGTGAAGTGGATCTACTTTTTCCACTTTTCCTGTTTAATTTATTTTGCTACTTTCTCCTTTAGTGCCATATCTAAACTCCATCAATATCTTCTTTTCTTTTTTTTTTTTGAAACACACTCCATCAACATCTTATTCCTAGGCTAGACAAGACTACACTACACTACACTACATTGATAACAACATAAACAAGAGTTTATTCCGCGTTAGTTTTTCTTTTAATTATCAACTTTGATTTTTTTTTTAAAATATGTTTTAGATTCCAACTTTAAAAAAAATGTTTTATTTTAGTTCTAAATGTTCAAAAGGCATCAAATTTTATGTTACTGTATTAAGGGCATTTTAAATTAAAAGTGATTTTTTTTTTCCGTCCAAAACTAAAAAGTGAAACAAGTTAAAATCAAGAACTAAAAATGAAAATGTCATTATAGTCTCCCGAAACCAAAGGTGGAAATGAACTCTATAAATAATTAGGAAGTTTTTACTGCATCTTGATTCAATTTATTATTATTATTTTTTTTTGTTAAATGTTATTGTATCTCTTATTTTAGTAATAACATAAATATAACGAAGAGCAGCATAAAAACTCTAACCAGGAAAAGTTCATATTTTGATTAGAAATATGCTATTTTTTCTATTATGACTATATTTTATCAACTACTATATATAGAATTCCTTTTTCGTTTATGTGTATTATTGTAACTCTATCTTTATCGATCTGGCCTCTAACTAGGACTAATTCTTCTTTTCAAAAGGTTGAACCCCAACCCTAAGGGCTCCCCATACCCCGGCCCAACAGAGTATCTGGGAGGATGTAAATTATGGTAACTCAACTGAACATGAACCACAGAGGCTAGACATTTGCTTACTGCGCACAAAGAGCCCCCTCACTCTGAAACTAGGACTAATTCTTGTATCTCTATAAATACGTCCCTTCTTATACTTTTGTAAACGTGATTGATCACTAATAAAACTCTTTGCAAATATTAATTTTCTCATCTCGTATTAGTATACCAAACGATCCATGTCCAACAATACAACAGTCATGCCGGCGCCACCCCTGGGGATGCCAATCCCGACATCACGCCACCTCCTACTGCCAACACCATCGACACTACTAACTCCTCCTCTCGCACTATCTCAAATATTATCCCTCTACCCCCGGCCTCGATAAATACTCTACGAATGTCATCACATCACTTTATCTCTCTCAAACTTACTTCCTCAAATTATCTGTTCTGGAAAGCCCAGCTTGTTCCCTTTCTCTACAGTCAAAATCTATAGTGGATACGTTGATGGCTCCTTTCTGTGTCCGACTACTTATATTCAAGATTCAGATGGTTGTTCCGTTGTTGCCAATCATGCAGCCCAATCTTGGGTCGTAAGGATTCTTCTATTTTGTCCATGCTCATCTAGTTTCTGTCCGATGAAGTTATGTATGTTGTTTTGGGACGTGCCACGTCCCTGGCCTTGTGGCAAGCTATTGAAGTTGCGTTTGTGTCCACTTCACAAGCATGATCTTTGAGTCTCCTTAGTAGCTGCAGTCTTTTGCACCAAGGGGGATTCCACTATAGGTGAGTATCTTGGCAAAGCTAATGTTTTAATTGGACTACTTGCAAAATTCAACATACCAATTAGTTTAGATGAGCAGAATCTTTACGCATTTAAAGGTCTCTACCTTGAGACCATGCAATGGTCTCTTCATGGACCATAAAGGAACCTATGAAAATTGATCAACTGAATGATTGTCTCATCATTACATCTAAAGAATCTTCAAAAGTTTGGCACAATCGTCTTGGTCACCCTCAATCAAGAGCCTTACACAATATTCTACGTCATTATCTAGTATGTAAGCCCTTAAATAACGTTAACTCTCTTTGTTTTGAATGTAAACTAGGAAAATCCTCATGGTTTTCACTAGAAAGAGTAAAAAAAAAAAAAAAAGTCTAGTAATGTTGTATCAGGTTTAGTTTACACGGACATTTAAGGGTCATCCCCAATTTTATCTTATGAGGTTATCGTTATTTTGTAATTTTTATAGATAATTACTCTCAGTATACATGGTTCTTTCTCAAGAAACTAAAGACAGATATCTATATCATTTTTCATAGGTTTCAAGCACTAGTTGAGCAAACTTTGTCTCGTAAAATTAATGCCATTTACTATGATATAGGACGGGAATACAAAAAATTAGACAAGTTCTTTGTCAATCTTAAAATAAATCATCGTCAAATCATGTGCTTACACATATGAGTAAAATGTGAGATTTAAATATACAAAGCATAATCTACGAGAAACTTAACTCGTAGCAGCGGAAGCGGAAGCATTGTAGATCTCCAGCCATGGTTGATATCATGTTGTGTTGCCTCTTGAACGGTAGATCTGCAGAATAGGGTTAGCCGTTTTGTCTCATACTTGACTCAGAACCCTAGATGGTGTACTGGTATTTTCTGAGCAGTATGAGTACCATATAATATTCATGTATCTTTTATCCCATCAATACAAGCTTTATATATGCACATTGGTGGAATACAGACTTAAACCTAAAGGTCTAACCCAACCAATTACTTAATGGGCCTAGTTCACTTGCACCACATAAGTAAGACCCATAATATATAATATATATTATACGGGAAAGTCTTACAGTCTCCCACTTGGTGCAAGTAATAGCATAATTCGCATTAAAGAACAAAACACACGAATCATAGTAATATGTCCTCTACTGAATAAGTGAGTAATATCTCCTATGATCACATGCATATTTGATTCCCCAACTTGAATCCTTTATGAACAAACCCAATGTTTATTCTTGGTACCTGAAGGGATGTTTCTCAAAATAAAATGTATATGCGCAACTTAAGAGAGAAAATCATCCAAATTGTACAAAAGAGTACATTGTATGATCTCTAATATCCTTAAAAGCATGCCTCAAGTAGAGATCTCTTAATTAGCATAATGCTAACTATATATTCCATAACTTCTTTATAAGTTAACATAAGTACTACCTCTAACGGCTAAGAGCTTGGAGTTGACACGTCTGTCACTCCCACTCATCAAAATAGCCAAAAGATAGTCAAGTCACAGAAGCATTCCAATAACTTAGACAATAAACCAAAACTCTAAGTACATAAATTTGGAATCTTAAACATACACCATAACTTCCCAAATAATCTTTAAGGTCCACCTCAAAATGAACTGAACATTATGAGTCTTACTTTTATGTTTCTCAAAATTGTCTTGAGCCTTACAAACCAAAATGGCCCAGGATCAATTTTGAAGAAACTAAAGACTATTAAATGCGTGGTGAAGAATTTATTACTTAACAGTGCACCACAAGTTATATGTTTTGTTCTAATAAACTCCTCAATATTGTTACAACATTTTTCATAAATATGTTGCTAAACCAATATGAATTTATATGAACAAATACAATATTAATACTTGTGGAATCTTTTGGACTTATTGTTTTACATACAATCCAATACGGGATGCATGAAGTCAATTAAATCCAAAATCTTTAATGGAGTATCTTAATGATCTTTTTCTAAATGATCACTCCCACTGATTATGGAGTATCTTAATGATCTTTTTCTAAATGATTACTCCCACTGATTAAGATATTCTTTAGCAAAATTAATGATATACGTACTCGTAATTGATTTGACCAACTAACAAATGAAGACATAATTCCCCACCATTAGTTGGACATACTAAATAATCAATTTTGGGTTCCAAT